TTCGCGGTGGTATTGCCGCGCCCCCGGGCCCAGGGTCATCTTAGCGCTGGGCCGGGGACTGGGAAAGGCTTCCCAGAGCCGACAGCACAGTGGCCGAGGTGAAGCGAGGCTTGGTTACTCCGCAATGAGACAGTTGGTGGTGGGAGCTGAGAAGTCTGGGTTTAAGTAAAAGGTACTTTAGGCTGCAGTGAGGAGATGGTCAAACAAGTACAGACCGCAAGATGCTGTCAGTGTGGAAGATGGTTTCAGCTATTAGAGAGTAAAATCTGTCTTCGTAGATTGTGAGGACCGAGAGGAGCTGTAATATATGGGCACTGATTTTCTTTTTAATCACTTTTTTTCCCAGGAAGTGTCAGAGTGATTTTTAATTACACTAACCGAGTGTCCCCAAACTTACTACAATGACAAGAGAGGCTTTCTGTAATTGATTCTCAATGCAGATTGTAAACCAGCTCATCTAAACTGATGAAAACTTTGTTTTCATCAAATAAAACTCTGTTGTGTTCTTCTCGTTATATAGTGTAAAAGATGAAATTATGCAAGTATGGTCCATTTTATAGTTTGCTGGGGTTGGGGGGCTTGTCTTTACAGGTCTGTGAGTCAAGTGTGTGTGGAAAAGTCACTGATTTTCAGAAGTAATACCCCTTATTCTACAGACATCGTTTCTGATCCTGATGGACAAGATCCACTGTTCTGTGTACAGTTGGATGACTGTAAGCAATCTTTCTTTTCGCATATTTTGATTGCCTTTGCGTAGGGAATATTTTTTTGAACTGCACGTTGTAATTGTTGCTAATTATTTTGACTGTTACAGTTTCGGAGAGACCATAGTGAATCAGGGTCTTGAGCACCAAAGACAAAGATCATTGCACTGTTATTAAGGGTAGGGTTTCTGGCTGAGTACAAATAAGTCTTTATCAATTGCTTATGTATCTGTACCGTACTTAGTGGGCTACACATAGAGCAGCAGATAAGGGTTGATGTTTAGAGTATCCCACTACTCTAATTTTCAGAAAGTGTTTTTCTTATTGTGTCTTGGATTCTTCATTATATATGCTTATTTTCATCCTTTCTTCTCTGCTACCGGTGATTTTTTTTTCACTGGTAATCATATATCCTGTAGGATATGCCATTAACATTCTTTTCTCTTTTTGCTTTCCACATTGTACTTCATTTGAGTGATTCAATGTCCAGTTCCTGGCATTCAGTGCAATTGCTGTGGTCTCACATTTGAACACTTACCATTTTCTCTTTTGAGTTGTCTGGGAATTATGACCCACAGTTCCATCTGCTTCTGACCTAAATCTTTGAGTATTTTATGTTGGGAGGGGCTCAGGAGATTAACAGGTACAACAGCTGGTCAAAACAAGGTTAGCTTTTTATTATCTTGTCCTGCTTTCAGCTCTTTACAGATTTTGTCTGAGTGTTTTGCATACAAGGAAGAGCAAAGAAATTATAAGAGGATACCGATAGAAAGTCTGGGGTTTTTTTTAGGATGCCTATTGTCTATTCATACTTATCTTGAGTTTTACTTAACTATTTTGAATCCATTTAATATTGCTTTTTGTGAACTCACAAATGGGTGATTGATTTTGTAATTCAGATTTCATGTGTGTCTAATATGGGTACCTCACGGAAATTACTGCACATGTTAATATAGCTGTTAAGGAGTCTCATGCTTTTTGGAAAGTTGCTTTGTGTATTAATAGTTGTTTCCTATGAACTGTATTCATGATATCATCCTGTTTTGTAGATCATATTAGCCTATTATAAGTGTTACTATGGATTAATTAATATAAGGCACCAAGTAACTCACAATTACTAAAGTTATTTCTTTTTAAAATATTGGCACAGTATTTAATCTTATCTTCTCTAGTAACTTAATGTTGGTGGATTTATTTTGTTTCTCTTTTCAAACTCTAGCAAAGCTGAACTATTTTCAACAGCCACAGGATATCAAAGAATCTGATTTTGCGGAGTTCTTAGAGAAGTATGGCAGACACTCTTTCTTAGCACCATCACAAGTTCAGCCATCATTCTCTGCTTTTTACCGCGTGAGTTGAAAAAAAAATAGCAATCAATTTGCACATATGCTTTTACTAACCTGTCTGTAATGATGTCTAATGAGAACAGATTGAAAGATTCTTATTTTGTACCTAGAGGCCATATTATCACAGGATCATAGCATATCCTCAGTTGGATGGGACCCACAAGGACCATCAAGTCCAACTGCTGGCCCTGCACAGGATGCCCCAGCGATCCCACCCTGTGCCTGAGAGTGTTGTCCGAACGCTTCTTGGGCTCTGTCAGCCTTGGGACTGTGACTGTTACCTGAGGAGCCTGTTCAGGGCCCAGCCACCCTCTGGGGAAGAACCTTTTCCTGATATCCAGCCTGAGCCTCCCCTGACACAGTTCCAGCAGTTTCTTTGAGTCCTGTCCCTTGTCACAGAGAGCAGAGATCAATGTCTGCTCCTTGGGAGGAAGCTGCAGAGAGCAATGAGAACTCCCCTCAGTCTCCTCCAGGCTCAACAAGCCAAGTGTCTTTAGCAATTCCTTGTATGGTTTCCCCTGGAGATCCTTCACCATCTTTGTAACCCTCTTTTGAATGCTCTCCAACAGCTTTATGGCTTGCGTTGTGGCACCCAAAAGTGCCCTCAGGGCTCAAGGTGAGGCCATAGCATGGTGCAGAGCAGAGTGGTAGCACCTGGTGATGCTGAGCCAGATGCACCCAGGACACAGATGGCCCTCCTGGCTACCAGAGCACATTGTTTTATCTCTCAGTACTTTCCATACCTTAGTGTATAAAGTATTTCTGGTCAGTTGCCTTGTATTTGAGAGGTTGGACAACCTTTTAGACAAAACCAGGTGTCCACAAAGAAGTATAGATATGTCTCTTGTCCTTGGCATTAGTATTCTGCTCTAACTTTGTGATTTCTCCAAATTCTCTTTTCAGGCTGGTGATCCAATCCTCATCTACTTTGATTCGTCATCTGTATTGAGCATGCTTAGACAGCCAATAAAAATGGGAGCCAGTGGACTTTGTGTTGATGGGAATCCTGCTGGTTAGTAAAGGGGGAAGAATATCTTAGGGTGGTTTGCTTCTGTTTTATCTGTTGTCATGTCTTAACTCACCCAGGCTTCCTGGACAGTAAAAGCACAAGCTGTATTCGGCTTTTTGCCAACTTGAGGAAGAGCTGCATGACTGACCCTGCCCTAGATGCTGCTTCCTACTACCGTGACTTCACTGTGCTAAAGGTGCATTTCAAATTTCTTGCTTTTTTTCAAAATCTTAGTTGTTTGACTTCGCATTGCCTTCTACTGTGATTTCAGATAACTGTAAAACTGAAGGTCATTTGGTATGTCATTCCTGATCTTCCAATAGCTGAGGCCTTCTTCTCTGGCCACAGAGAGCAGCAGGCACAGCTTTCCCAGGCATTGTCCCAGGGAGGACTGTGAGAAGATCAGAGAAAAGAATGATAAACAATTCTTATCTTCACTTGCTGTACCTGTTGCTGTGAACATGTGGAATGTGTTATGGAGATTTGTTTACCAAAGGGTGATTTCTTAATTGGCCAATGGTGATAGTGTTTAGATTCAAGGACCAATTAAGAAAAACTGTATTGGACCATGAGGACGATGAGTTTCTTAATAAGTATAGTATAATAAAGTGATCGATCAGCCTTCTAGAATCATAGAGTCAATGCTAATTATCACCTCGTCAGGGATGCTGTGCTACAACAGGAAACCTGTTAAAAATGTCATGACTGGTGGTAATCCTAAAATTCAAACTACTTTCCAATAAACTTCCATTATTAGCAAATTCTTAATGTATTTAACAGGTACTTCATTGATACTTCGTAGTTCTAATGGCCTATCTAAAATTCTCTCGCATTTTAAACAGGTTGTTTATCAAAGTATATCTTGTCTGTTCCATCAGCTTGATCAACCCAGCAGTACATGTTCTCAGTAAAGAATTAGGGTGATTTTTTTTTTTTTACATAAAGTGCGATCTCTAAAATCATACTGATGCCCCCTTATTAATATTAGCTCTATTTATGTCCATATAAATGTCTCTATTTATCCTGACAATAAATTCAAAGTAACCAGTTTACTGTTCTGGGTTCATCCCACTTGTTTTACTGAAAGCTTATATGAAAATGTCTCCTCTCAGCTTGTAGAGTTTTTCTGGTTTTCCAAGAGGAAACAACATTGTAAATAGGAGTACATATTAAGGCTGATGACTCAGTATACCCTTCTACTGGAAATCTAAATCTACTTAACTAGTAGAAAATAGTCTATTGATCAGATTTAATTAATGTTTTCAGGACTTTTTGTCGCTGTTGCCAAAGTACAGTTTTTCCTTAACTGGACACTGAAGTACTTGATAGCAGAAGATGGAGTTTCAGGAATGGATCAGAGATGTGGCACTTAAAAGTACCTGCGTTCTGCAGGACATTAACTAGGCCAAGCTTAAATTTGTCTTTTGGTATTTTAAAATGCCTTCTGTGAACTGTCTGTGATTTATAAATTGCAAAATGATGACATTTTCACATCTGGAATAAACAAAGTATTTTTGTCAATAACTATTCAGGTTCTTTTGTAGTGATTTTATGACTTTAGTCACAAACACAGCAATTTACTTCACTTTTTATTGGAATTGTAAAACGGTTTGCTTATTTTCCCCAGGTCCCAATTAATGACACTGTTACGCCATCCATGAAGGTCAGTCTCATTTCTGGTTCTGAAGGGAAAGTGGGAATGTGCTGTGTCCAAGACAAGATTTTTCTTGACAAAACTAAGACCTGATAGAAAAAAAGGACATAATAAGGGTGTATTTTTGAATGAACGGGCATAGATAGGACTAAAGTCATGGAGGTTGCTTATTTTCCTGGAAAAAGATTGGGGATCTGGAGCAGTGTGATGTGCCCCCCAGATCACAGCAAGGAGGTAAATTGACTTGGATGGAAAAGCAGTGAAAAAGAGTAAAAAGAGCTCTCTCCTTTTAAACAGTTACTGATTGTTAATATACTTACTTTCTCCAGGTAAATGTCACTGCAGTCTCACCACCTGGAGCTCCCCACATGAAAGACAATACATGCATCAATGTTGTTTCTGAGGTATGTGAATCTTCTTTCCTTTTCAAGCAGCTTACCACAAGCTTAAAGCCATTGCCCTATTACCTTACCCTGTCTCCTGTTATTCTCTAAATTGGACTTTCAGGTGATCTATGAGATAGAATATAGTGGCACAAGTGGGATTCAGAGTGTTTCAGTCCAGTTCAAAGTCAGCAACATCTCTGTGAACTCCAGATCCTCTCTGCAGCAGCACTTCACCATGCACTTCTGGGTTAGTATCTCCATCCTCCTTGGGATTTTACCAAGTTTGTAGTCTAGCTTGTGATTAATTTTTCTACAGAAGATACTTGGAGAGGTTAGAGCAGTTTCACTGTGATATAGTAGTAACAGAGCCCCGGGATACAGATGATTGAAGAGGGGAGGCATTTCTGGTCTCAAATAAAGCATGCTAGTAGAAAGGTCCAGGCTCAACACAAACATGCAGTCTTTCATTGCAAAAATTTCAAGGAGCTGAGTATTTTTATATGATGATTTTTGCTCTTGGTTTGGTTTGGTGGTTGGTTTTAGGTGTTTTCTATTTGTTTGGGGGTTTTTGGTAGTTTTTTGAGTGTGGGATTTTGTTGGTTTTTTTTTTTTTTGTTTGGTTGATTTGGTTTTGGGCTTTTTGGCACTGTTTTGTTTTGTTTGGGTTTTTGTTTGTTTTGGAAGTATTGTTTTGGTTTTTTGTTTGTTTTGTTGGGGGATTTGGGTTTGGTATTTTTGGAGGGGGGTTATTTTTTGTTCTTATTTGTTTGTTTGTTGAGGTAGAATGGAAGATAAGTCAGCAGCATGGCCTTGTGAAAGAAAGGGTTGAAGCTAAGGTTGTATGTGATGTGTTTAGTGTTTGTGAAAGAAGTTACTAAATTTATTCCAGGTACTTAACACTTTTGCCTGTGCAGCAGGAAAGAAAGTTACTTGGAAGGGTGTAGAAATCTGGGAAATATTAATGTGTGTTAAGTTCACATAAATCATGTCCCATGATTTATGTAATTCAATGTAAAATTGAGTAAGTGATGACCTCAGGGGTTGGTAAGTGTGCAATGCAACTTTGTTGAAGTTATGCCCAGATTGCCATACAAACATGTAGAAGTAGAATGGTCCACTAAGAATCAGGGTCAAGGCAGAGTTTGTTCTGCAGTTCTTCTGTAGAATTGTCCTGACTGATCTGTTCACTTCCTCAGAGACAAATGTTGAGCAATAGCAATTCATTGTATTGTGAGCTCTCCTGGTATTGTCCACATTTCAGGATACTGACATTTAGTTTTTTACCTCCTGGACTGCAAATGAAATTGGCCAGGTAAGAAAGAGTCCTTGTAAACAAATAGTTTAAGTAGTGTATAATGATCTGTCATTCAAAAAAACAGCTTACATTTACATTTTTGAGAATGCAAATTTGATCTTTGGGATGAATGGATGTCATTGATGCTAATTTTTTCCTCTTTTTCCTCTATTTCTTCTCTTTGTCGCTTTGTAGACCAGGACTCTCTCTCATGTGTTGCCTAGAAGTGGAAACCCTGGCTATATCACTGGAGCACCACTGTTGATTGCAAACAGTGGTGCCAAGCAACGTGTATCCTTTTTCTGCTAGGAGTTTTTGTTTATCACTGGGGTTTTTTTTGATTTGTTGCTGCACTGTCTGAACTTTTATAGTGCCCTAATAGGGAAAAGAAGGAATATGGGGTGAGTGGATTGTTAAATGAGATGAGTGTTGTATGTTGTCTGTTTATACTTTTGTTTGGTTTCTTGATGTGCAGTCTGTCAGATGAGCATATTAAGGAGTGAAAGTGATGGAAGTTGTTCACAATTCCTCAGGCACACAGTACAGTTTGGAAGGAATATGAGAACAGGCTGCAAAATCAGGTAACAACACACTCTGCAGTCATCCTTTCCAACAGTTGGAAGTTGTGGACTCGGAATGTTTTTCTGTAGTCTCTTATGTACTTCTGTGGAGCCTAGGTCCTTCCCTGAGATCACCAATGTGTCTCTACAGATCTTTCACAAACTCCTAAGAGAACATGAATATAGTAAAGATGGTGGACTGCTAGAATAATGTGAACATTGTGATGGTCTTCTGGGACATTTTGAGGCTCTAGTCTGGCAGTATGTCTTGGGCAAGAGTAGAGTTGAGGAGTGAATCTTAGAAAGGGATTGTTTTGATGGTTTAGATTGTTCCTTTGACACGGCAAGTGTAGGACTGCTGATGCGATAAGATGGCTGAAGAGCTGTCAGCTTTTCTTATCATTATCCCTGCCATATTTTTCTCCTTTCTTGTTGCTGAAAGGATTGAAACTGCATCTGTTTAATACCAATACTTGTTGACTCATTATAAGAGCAGAAGAAATACTTATTGCAAAGAAAGGATGTTGACAGTGGTTTGGATTTTTTTTTCTTGTCCTGGAAATCACTTTCTTAAAGGTGTTCTTTTCTCATTTCCAGCCTATCCCCAATATTGGAAGACGATAACTGTAGTTACATACAGCAGAAGTTATACAAGGCTTTTCAGGGGATGAGCAGAACAGAAGACTTTGCTGTAACTGGCAGTGCTCATTCAACCCAGGCAGAAGAATGGATGACCATTCTAATTGAGAACTGCAGTGTGGAGGTAATAGGAATGCAGACAGACCGACTGTAAATATTTTTCCTTTCGTATCGTTGTATTGCCTTGGGGAGGTCGGGGTATCTGCACTTTTTTGTATAATGAACCTATGACTCTCAGGGGTCTTAATATGTGAAAGCAGCCATTATGGTTCATGTTCATATTATTAGAGTACTTAGCAAAAAAAACCCCTCAAACCCAACAAACCCTGACAGATTTCCTATCTCTTGAATCCTGTTCTGCTATTTAAATGGGCAAAAAGAGTTAAATACTGAATCCAGTGTTATATAATTTTCTGACAGCCTTTTGGAACTGATAGTAGCTGGCTACTTCCTATTAATTATTATTATAATACTTTCTGCTTTTCCAGAATAGGGAATATTTTTGTAGGGATATTTATATCCTGTTATATTTCCTAATAAGGTTAAAGTCTGTGAGCCAATTGCATTGTAATAATTGTTAATCTGTGGGGGAATAGCTAAGTGGAATATGAAGTCCAAGAGGTAAAGCTGAGATAAATTCTAATTGGAACTGAGATGACAGTGAGCTCCAAAATGGGTGGTTGACATGATCAGAAGTTACAGAGATAGTACTGAAGTGATTGATTTAGGTTCTGTGACCTGTATTATCCAAAATATTAGACTTTGGCCATAGTGGTCCTTTATCACTTTTAAAATACTATATTAAATTGATTAGCATGTATTTTATTTTCAGGCTGTGAATTGCACTTCCTGTTGTATGGTTCCTGTGACCCTGGAGATACAGATATTGTGGACTAAAGTGGGCCTCTTGTCCAACCCACAAGCTCAAGTAGTGGGTACACGGCACTTTTACCACTGTCAGCCCCTCAAGGTATGGAATCAAAAGCCCTCCCTCACACACAGAGGTAATTAAAGGGGATTTACAGGTTATTTAAGAACCAAGAAATCAAATGGTCTTGAAACTAAGTAAGTTGAGATTTATTGAATTTTAGCAGTTGTCTGGCTGCAATGGTAGCCTTCTATAGAGGAAGGTTGTTTTGTGGTCTTTTCAGTACTGTCCTCACTCAGTTGTATAACTGGAAAAGATACCTTCTTTTCAACCCTGAACTACTTTCTGCCACTTTAGGACTCAATCTTTAAACTTACAGTTATGGTTGGTATAAAGTTGTACTTACAAACATCCAGTAACTGCATGTTTAATATTTAGTTGTGTCTTAAAGCCTTAATATGGGATTTGAGTGTAGTAATATTTCAGAGACTCCACAGAATGCTGATAATCTGTGCAGAAGATTTCTGTTGCTCTAGAGCTTCTGAAATCACTATCAGGTAGCTGAGGAAGTGACTAATGCTGGTGACAACATGTTTGGAGAACTGGGGAGGAAGGCAGTAAGCCAGAAAGAGGGTATTCGAGGCCAGGTTGGATGGAGTTCTGAGCTACCTGATCTAGTTGAAGGCATCCTTGCTCATCACAGAAGGCTTGAACTAGGTGGCCTTTAAAGGTCCCTTCTAGCCCAGACCATTCTGTGATTTTGTGATGTCAGCAGGAATGTGTCAGCTAACATGACCACAGAGGACAATGAGCAGTCTTTTTCAAGCATGTGTCAGTGGATCCCATTGTGATTTTTTTTTCTTTTTTTTTTTTGATATCACATAGTCGTTTGGGCAGCAGAAATATTTCAAGGCTTACACTTCTCTGTAAGGGCTTAGGGGAAGCAGCTGGCATCCACCCAGGCATCTTCATGACTATGAGGAAGGTATCTGTCTGATGTGTTAACACACTTTGAACTTCAGACCCAGTCTAAATGAGATTTTACACACTTGTTTGAATGCATCTCATGGTACCCTTTTGTTCTCCCTCTTGCAAAATACATGACGAGAAGAGGATAGGAAGATGTTAACCACATAAAACTCATATTGCCCTGAGGCAAAGTGATACTCCCACCCCATGAAAATATTTTTAAAATCACCTGTTACATGGCTTCATTAATAAATAAATTATTAATAAAATTAATAGAAAAATCTTCTGTCTGGGGAAGAAGATTTGCATTCCTAGTAAAAGTGTAGGGTGCAAAGCCCTCAGGATTAGCTAATCAAGAAGAATGAGATTCAGATTTGATTTGCTTGAGCAACTTATGCTAATTACTTTAGACCCTTAAGGTATATTGCAAGGCTAATTATAAGAAAGCAAGTTTCTGACAGCAAAAAAGCCCATGTCATTAAAATCAGAACTGACTTCATCAGTGACATCACAAATCCACAAATTAGGATTGTTAGGAAAGGAAATTTTAGGAAAGGACCAACTTGCTCTATAGTCAGCAGTTATGAAGTCCAACTATTTGCAAGCCCACTAGACTGCACATTACTTTCAAATTATGTCACTTCCCAGCTTTAGCCTACAGATTCTCTACCTGAGAACTATCCTTTAGTTCCTTTAATATTCTTTAGAGAAACCTTTTTTTATTTATACAGCACTGTGTCACTGGAAAGTTCCCTAAGTAACTGACCAGAAAACAGAGAATCCAGGAAAGACATCCTGATTTCAACACCCATACACAATATCTGATCACAGTTATATTTGGACTTGGTGAAAATACAGGACGTTTTAAAATGATGTGGAGTTCTACAAGAGCATGCTGGAAGTTGCTAATGGTTGCCTTCTCCCAACTGTTTAGGAGGGATTATGTATGGAGTTGTTTTCCCTGCACTAATCTCTCTGATTTTAAGGCAGTTTTTCAAGGTCCAGACACTTAAATCAATCATCTTTAGGCTTCTTGTTGACTAGGGCAACTTGGCCTATTTTTGAGTGTGTTTACTCATTGATAGGAGAACTTGTATCAGAATTGTTTGGAAAATTCTATTTGTAACTGCTCAGCAGTGGTGAATTGTGATCAAGGACTGATCTGGCATGGAGGGCAAGAAGGTGGTAAACTGGCTGGAAGGAGGAACATTAGGACACTTTGCAAGTGAGTGAAGTTTCCAGGTGATGACAGAAGAAATAGCCTCAGCATTTTCTTGTAGCCATTCTGGAATGGGAACTGCTCAGGGGCCAGCTTTGGGCAGCAGAGCAGGCCTGGGGAATGCACCCATGGCAGGCTGAAGGGCCGCATGCTGATGCTCTCACAACTGGTGCTGCAGATGCAAAGGTGCACAAGGAATCTGCTCATGATGCCTCTTTGCACACTCCTGTAGAGCCAAGACTGTACTCAATGCGTTGTTCATCTTGTTTGGTTGTTTTTTTTGTTTTTAATTTAGGCACAGACTTATTTTTTAATTCACCTTGAGGATGCCACAAAAATTCCCCAATAGGAGTCACAATATTTTTTGCTTAAGAGTCATGAACTGTATGATGCAAATTTTTTGAGTGCTTCCTACAGAATTTTGCTCTGAAGGCAATCTTTGAAATTCTTCTCAGGGAAGTGATTGAGGTGTTAATTTCACAGGTTGGCATAAACCAGTGCAAGCACAGAAGGTGTGCTGCCAGTAAATGCCCTCTCAGTGTTAGCATGCAGAGCTAGGAAGTGGGGCAGAGAGTGAGGTTGCTCTTTTGGCAGCAGCATGGTCTTAAATCAGCCCAAGGTAGCCATGAATCTCCATGCAGTTCAAAGAGCTAGTGTATTCGTTTTCTTGCTGCATTCCGTTAAAACAGAAAAGAACTGAGGCCTTAGAGGTTCAGTCCCCTGTGTGATCTTCACTGATCTGTCTCCTTCCTGAAACAACATCCTAAAATGTGAGCAATAAATTTATGTTGTATTGGGTCCCTGCTTTAGTTTACTGGCATTTATTGATAGGATTGCATCTTGTGGCAGTTCTTTCTGGTAGCAAGCACTTGCCCAAGGAGCCAGCTGATCTTTTATAAAAAATAAAGCTAGCTTGTATCTGTTCTTATTACTAAGCATTTGGTATGTCTTTCCTCTGAGTAGAAGGCTTACTGTAGCCGAGCTTAAGTCACTGCTGCCATTTTGGAGATCTCTAGCATACGATACACAGTAGCTAAAGGTGATCTTTACTACACCCACAATTTACCTGCTAAATATCAATTTTGGGAAAGAGGCCTTACTCCTAGGACACTGAACTCTTACCATCCCAAAGATGCTTGCCATGCTTGCCAGTCATCTACAGTGTGTTCCCCCATTAAAAAATTGGGGATGGGTATGCTTTTTGTGTTAAGACTGCTAAACTCCTTTTGCTTCCCTTCTTGCTGCAGTTTCTAGACATGAGCATGGTACCTGTGACAACTATTGTTACCTTCACTGACATGACGGATTGGCCAGAACCTCCACGAGGCCAGCCCCAAATGCACTGGAAACTCCCATTTGACATCTTTTTTCCATTCAAGGTAGCCCTGAATGTCGAAAGAACTTACAGAGGTGATCTGGCTGGGTATTTATTGTTGATTCTAATAATGTCTAGTATTTTCTGCTTTTGAAATAGATGGAGCCTGTATTTAAAGTGTGGTGAGTGAATTGATATATTCAGGATATGACCCAGACGATGGACTTTTGTCATCAGGTTTTTTATACCATTTCTGTGTTATCTGTGTGCCTTCTGTTCTTGGATTAAGCCGTGTGGGCTGCTTTTCCTCTCATGTTTCTGTTCTTTGTATGTGAACCATCTGTGAACATCATTGCAGTGGCACACTTGAGAAATGTAGGGATCCAGGGACATTGCTTTAATGAGGGACTAGGAAGAGAATGTTAAAACTATTATTCCATTCCATTATTCCAGAAACCAAGAATGCTCTCTAAACCAGGGAGCATGGAGGTAGAAGCAAAGTTCAATCAAAGCATTTTGGAGCTCCTTTCAGTTGGAGATGCATCTGATTTTGGAGCTGCTTTCCTGTTGGAGAAGCATTTGATTTTTCTATGTGAAACTAATCAAACACTTAGAATACAGGAGCTTGCCCGGGTGGCCTGAATTCTATTTTATGAGTAAGCATGTGTGCCAGTCACCCCTAACCTGTCCTTGTTAGATGATGACAGCCACAACTCTGTGAGATTTTTTGAATCTTGCTTTTTTTGTGTCTTTTCAAATACAGATATTCAATTGAAATTTTCATGGTGTAATCACTTTTTACATTAGCAACACTGTTGCACAGAACAAAGCAATTGTGAATGCTCTGAAATACCGTTGAATTTTAGTGGTTTGTCAAAACATCTTCCTAATATTTTTCTTCTCCCTGGAAGAAATGGGCCTGAATAGACTTTTTCCTAGATAACAAACATTCTCTTGTTCCAGATAGGAACTGAACTGAAAATGGTAACTACTGAAAATCTAGTAGCACATCAGAGAGACTTGTGAATAGTTCTGAAGCTACAACATGGAATATTTTAGGAAAATTTGTAGATGTATTGAGACGGAAGCTTGCTGTGATACCTTACCTCTGGCTCACTCTCTGGGACTAGGAAATAAATTTATTGTTTTTGCTGTTAAAGGTGGTCTGATTATCTAGACTGCCATCTACCATCACACAGGAAATCTGCTTAATTGTTCCAGGAAGCTGTTGGATGAAAGTATATTTTTAGCAAAAGATTTTATTATTTATCTTCGGATGATGGAAAAATCTGCCCCATCTGATGCCAAGTGCTCCAATGGAATCAATAAAAGCCAAAAATTTCAGAGCCTAGTTTTAATAAAATATGTTTGTTGCTTTTATACCTATACTGCACATAGTAACTCTGTTGCTTCTCCTCATTACAAACTTTAAAAAGAATGCAAAAATAAACTGAAAAACTAGTAATTAGTCAGGGTATCAAAGGAGATAAGACAAGTAAAACAAAACTACAATGCATCTAAAAGCTTCTGGATTACTGTCACATATTTATCTTTGTCCTTATTTGCACGGTTTATTAGCTGGGAACGAATTCTGTGTGAGTGTCTTCAGTGTCCATTGATTTCTATTCTGGGGCAGCCCAACCAAGCTAGTGTGAACATTCAGAACTGTGTACTGCACTCCAGTATTACACAGGACTGTACCATTACACAGAAACAAACTTTGATTTTTAGGTAGATGTGGCTTCTCAGATGTGCCTGTAATACCTTTGAAAAGTTTTTCTCAGAACACCTTTATTGTGTGTCCTATGTCCTCTCATGTGCCTAATTTGTGGAATCCAGGAAATTAATTTAGAGGTGACAACAACTGAATTACAAAGGGTTAGCTGGAGAAACTTCCCAAATGTAACCTGGGAACACATGCTAAATGTGTTGAGATAAGGGCATGAAAGAAAAGGATCTGGCATCCTTGTTTTCTGCATTATTGAGGTAATTCACTTAGGTATAACTAGAGATACTCTTTGCTCTGTGGCTGCAAATACTTGAAATGCTGTAAGAATACATCACCTTTTATATTGTAATTATCTGGCCTCCAACGTCCTAATTTTTAGCTCATGTTTGTCTCCTTTCACATTTTGTCATAGCAAGAAATACGAGCTGGAAAGAGCCTTGTCCATGTTCTGCCTTAAGGCATATTCAAATTCTAGCCACATGCCAGCAGTGCTTGTGGGTTTAGAATCTGCAGTTTCCTATGGCAATGAATTTTTGTGTCTACTTTATCATGCTGTGTTTTTCCCCCCTGCCTGATCTGAAATAGCCTGTGTTGCAATTCAGTATCAGGCAACGTTATTTTATTACCACACACAAGGCAGACTCGTATGTCAGATGTACAGGAATGGAGTGTTTGTACTCCATGTCAAAGGGCTGAGACAAAACACTTTTTCTGCTGCCAGCATTCTAGCTAGAGCCATCTGTCCAACATCTCCCTTTTTTGAGGCAGTAAGTCTGTTTTTACACTGTCCGAGTGGAGACCATCTTTACTAGGAAATTTTTCAAGTCCTTTCCAAACATCCCCCTCGTTTCTTTAGAAGGCGTAATTTTAAATTTGAAAGCAGGAG